GCTATCTCTCTATCTATCTATCTATACAGCTATCTATCTATATCCATCTAGACTATCTATCTTTCTCTGTACCAGTTTGCCAACGTTCATTAATCATATCACCGATATCTCGCTAGGTGATTCATTTAGTTTTCACCTAGATGCCCATCTTGTTTGTTCGTGTGTTTGTGTGTGTTTATTAAAGGGACTGTCTATGTAATTTCAAGTGACCCTCAATGTAAAATGCTAAATACAGGGTGTCTCTTGAAACAGGACATTTTAAATGTCTTTTTCCGTATATTGTTTTGGATAGTGACATTTTGCAATGTATTTCGCAAAAATAATCTCTTACTTGAATAACATTTTACTTTAAAATAAATTTAACTATAATATGACTGATACGATATTTTTTTATTCTTTTGGTTTCAAACAACTGTAGTTAATTTATGTTTGTGTGTATGTAAGATTATATCTGTAAGTATGTAAGAATTTATGTGTGTGAATGTAAAATTATGTCTGTGAGTATGTAAGTATGTCTGTAAGTAACTAAGACTATGTGTGTGAGTATGTATGTATACGTATATATCTGTTAGTATGTAAGTCTGGGGTATCTGTGATGTGATGTATGTCTGTGAGTATCTAAGACTTTGTAAGTGAGTATGTATGTATACGTATAACTGTTAGTATGTAAGTCTGGGGTGTCTGTTATGTAATGTATGTCTGTAAATATGTAAGGCATGTGTAAGACTATGTGTGTGAGTATGTTAGTATGTAAGTCTAGCTTGTCTGTGATGCGATGTATGTCTATAAGTATCTAAGACTATGTGTGTGAGTACTGAGTATGTATATATGTATACGTATATATCTGTTAGTATGTAAGTCTGGGGTGTCTGTGATGTGATGTATGTCTGTAAGTATGTAAGAGTGTATGAAAGGTCATACTGATCATTTCTCCCCTGTACTGCCCCTAGACGTTGAATAATTGAGTGTGAAATTCATTACGTATATCAACACTGCTGGCTCATTCACTTTACTGCTCCCCGGTATATAGATTACATAGATAGATAGTTTACGTATATCCAGTTTACTGTACTGTCTATATTTACTTTGTTTTCTATGTTATCCATATCGTCTTTATATCTGCTGGCCTTATTTTCTGTGATTGATTATGCGGGTTAAGAGTTGTTTGTATTGTATATATTATCTACCTACTAAGATGCCCGTGGAATTTCAACCCATTAAAGAAAACCACCTTCTACGTCAATTCGGCTATTTTGAGAAATTCTTTGTTACCTAAAGAGAGCCAAATGAAATTTCTTGATCCATTTCTTTATTTTATCGTTTGTTAGTCAGCACGTTCAACAAACGTAAACACATACACACTACACTACACATAAATTTATATATCACTGCTCTGCTTTAAATGTGATGTTGGCTTTGCTGCCTAAGTTTTCTATGGTGTCCTTGTTGTCTGTGTTATCTTTGTCATCTATATTGCTGTTTACAAATATAAAAACTAATTAAACAAAACTGTTCTTAACTGAGTTTGGAATGCTATTTGTTCTTAAGAAAGTGAGACGAGGTCTATGAAAACACTCAATAAGTCTGCATGAACTTAGCATATTATTGTTTCAGAATTTTCTTACAAGTCATTTTGTAAACATATTCTTTTTAGTACTGTTCAAAATAGTTTATTTATTTTACCCCGCCTGAATATACCGTTGTGGATTAAAGCGTTAGTGAAGGGTTGAAAATATTTAATATTTCTCCACAGCATGAAATTATTCTGTACAGGTCTGCAGTGGAATTAGAACTCCATGTTTAGACTTCTTTAATCTGTGTAAACAGATTCCATTCATTTCTTATTCAAATACACAGGGGTCACAACGGCCCAATACTTCTCTCTGCATAACATCATCAGATGTTTAGCCATATTGTTTGCATAGAATTAAAGACATTAAATTATCAGACCAACTATTTTTTTAAATGGATGAACTGGTTTAAATATAATTAATTAAACGATACCATCTGACAGCTGAACAGTTTACAAATTCAGTCATACATTTAAAATGGTTCATTATTGGTGGAAAGTTTTAAAACAATGAAATTTGCAAAATCTTCCGTGATGTAAATCTTTAACAATCCATAAATATTGCATTTGAAACCATTTAAACTGCTTGTTTTGAAAATGAAAAGTTGAACTTTTAACTGAACGCGGCATGGTATTGCAAATTTAAAATGGCCGCGACCATATACAGAATTGAAAGTACAATAGACGATGATGTCATCAGGCCATTTAAAAATATTGTTTGTTCCACAACATTTAGTTTATATTTATACTTGAATGCAGTGTATCGCAAAAAATATGTGCAAACACATTAAATGATCTGTAAGAATTATAATTGTCAGTTGCTCCCATTAAAGTTTTCTTCTATTTAAATACTTTTCTAATTGCGTTTGCATCCGACTAAATGAATAAATAAATATGAAATTGACTGAAGGGGAAATCAATTAATTGGTGGTGAAATTTAATGCGGTAGATAATTTTGCAAGTGAAATATATGAGGGATACGCAAGGAGGGTCAGGTCAAGAGAGGGGTGCACCCTGGAATAACCTGAGTGAGTAGCATTCGGTTTCTTAAAATCAAACGTGTTTTGATCTATAATTCAACAATCTTTTACTTTACGGATTTGTTTATGCTATACATTTTCATTCTAAATGCATATGCCGACAAAAAAGTATAAAAGGAAAAAGGCTTGCAGATTATGTTTTATGGGTCAAATTGTGATCGAAAGGCACAGCTTTCAGGAATATTAAATCCACGTTGGGGNTGCGATTCAAAATAATTAATATAAAACATATTTTAAAGATGTTTCTTTTATTCTTCGAAAAGCATGGAACATTCATTAATTCTGGACATTCTAGAGTAATAACCAGAGAACTCTGAAATAGGATGACAAATTTTAGAAAAATCTTTATTAACTTTAAAAATGAGCATTAGAACCAGTAATTATGCAGTGTAAACAGACCATTTCACTAAATTGGTGATTTGATAAGTATCTGGTAAAATTATTCGATTTGTAACAACATCAAATTCACTTTTAAGTAATGTCGGTTTCCTATTTCATTGTTTTTTTGCATATCATTGTACTAGATAGTTGTTAAGTGAATTATAGCTGGATTCCTATTTATGAATATTAAGATTAAGATTAGGTGAAGATTAAGGTTGATAATTAAGCTTCATGAGAATGATGTGAATGAGTAAATTGATGAAGACTGATGAGATAATTAAGTTGACAAATTATACAAGATTTCAGGCCTTCAGGTCATTCCTAGTTTAGTGGTATTCAACAGAAACCAACCAAACAAGGGGCATCTATCTATTTTAAGACCAAACAAGGGGAATCTATCTATTTTCAGACCAAACAAGGAAAATCTATCTATTTTAAGACCAAACAAGGGGAATCTATCTATTTTAAGACCAAACAAGTGACATATATCTATTGTAAGACCAAACAAATGGCATATATCTATTTTAAGACCAAACGTTTTATTTTAAGACATAACAAGTGGAATCTATATATTTTAAGACTAAACAAGGGGCATTTTAACATTTATCTATTTTAAGACCAATCAAGGGGTATCTAGCTGTAGGACAGAACAATTGGCATCCATTTCAAACCAAACAAGGAGCATCTATCTATTTTAAGACCAAACAAGGGGAATCTATCTATTTTAAGACACACGAAGGGGAATCTATTTATATAAAGACCAAACCAGAAGCATCTATATATTTTAAGGCCAAAAAAGGGGAATCTATCTATTTCAAAAGCCAAACAAGAAGCATCTTTTATTATAAAGATCAAACCAGAAGCATCTTTCTATTTTAAGACATAACAAGATGCATCTATCTATTTAAAGACATAACAAGATGCATCTATCTATTTATAGACCAAACAAAAAGCATCTATCTATTTAAAGACATAACATATATTTAAAGACAAAATTAGCTGGTCATCTATTTATTTTATTTTAATAAATTAGAAAGATGCCTTCACTGATCAAATGAGCAAATGAAAAGAAAATATATCAGTCGTAATCTGGATAGAATCCTTCATTGACTATAAGTATAAAAGAATAAATCAGTTTAAATCTGAATATATACCTTCACTGCTCAGCATGAATGGATATAAAATCAGTTTATCTTCAATCTTAAACTTTTTAATATTCAGAGATGTGTTTGAATAGGCTAGGGGGGGGGGGTCAGCCGAATATTTACAGAATTGAACTGTGTAAAGAGGTTTCGTAAATATTGGAGGTAATTGCAGAAAAAGACAGAAAATACTGAAATTAAAATATTGGCAAATATTCAAAATGTTTCTTCAGTAGATACGTGATACAGGCAATTTAGCTAAATGATTGAAAATAAAGAAATCAAAAATTTTAGAAGATAGTTTATTTCATTATTTTTTTAGATTACATTGTAAGTTAAATAGCAACAACTTTATTTTGATAAAATTTCAAAAATTACATCATAAAAGTTTTAAAAAACAATAAAGGTTAATTTTAATTTCTTTTTTTGGTTGTTCGTACAAAGATATTGATAATTTTGGTTTGTTTACAATAAAGAAAAGTAAAAATAATTATTTTGAATGCACTTTACAGGAAATTAGAAACGGCCTGGGGCTATTTCCTTTTCAGTAAAATGTTTCTTTTGGAAAAATTGCAAATATAAAAATTGATGCATCCTTAGAAAAAGATTTGTCACTAAAATTAGCATTTTAAGATTTTAAATCCATGTGATATTGTTAATGTTAACTATTCTATTATTATAATTCCTGTGTTTGGAAAACAATGAAGGATTATATTTATCTGCATTGGCCCTACTTCAATCTAAACATATTTTAAAATTTTAAAGTGAAGGATTAATAAATTAAAATATTTCAAGGAGTTAATACCGTCCGTTATACTGTCTACTGTCTACTGTCTACTGTCTACTGTCTACTGTTTACTGTCTACTGTTTACCGTCTACTGTTTACTGTCTACTGTCTACTTTCTACTGTTTGACCTCCAGATATAAATGACCTCCGGAGGTCAAAATATAAAATAAGTCATGTGAGGTATCAATTCTTATATATTAATAACACTGTATCAACAAGAAATTCATGCCTCAGAGAGACATTTTTAAAAGAATTTGTTGTTTCATTTAAAATGGTTAAAAGAATTGAACATTCGGATGTTTTACACACATCTTTTCACTTTTAATTTATAAGTCTAATTATGAATGTTCGCGAAAAAATTGAGCAGAAATCAGCTAGTTCCTAACATCATAAAGGAAACACTAGTTTCATAAAAGTGACATGTAAATGTAAACTATAAATTAATTTATTGATATAGAATGCAGAAAATGTAGAATGAATCCATTTGAATCCTCATCAACTCATCCTTAGACCTCCGGAGATCTTTATATTTGGAGGTCAGCGACCTTTAGAGCTATCCGAGTTCCAAAAGGGTTATCAGAATGGAATTATTATTTTTTATTTTAAATGTCGAATTTTACCCCCGTTAGAACAGCTTATAATGTATAGGTCTAATTATATTCAAATTTTTAATTTGAAAATATGTTTATTTGACGTCAATTCTCTGACACATGTTACCAGAACAGAAAATATAAATTACCAAACTTACTATGACAAGATAGTAAAAAGTTAGGTTTATAGATTTTGAATGAATAAAGTATAAAGTATAAATCAAATAATTGAAAGCAAATTTTTCATTTTTATTTTAACTCCAGGATTTTTCCGCTGCGGAAAAAAAATTATGCGTCGTATAATTTCGTCACACCATCTTGCACCACCAGGCTACCAGCAAGCCAATATCAAAATCCGGTTTTTTATTCTTTTAATTTATTATCAAGGGAGAATTTCACCAACTATATAAAAAGGAAGTGGTTGACCTCGTTTTAAATAAATTTATCAATATCATTGTCTTTTTTAGCTTTATTGTTCCATACCTAAAGTAAAAAACCACACCTCCTGATAATACCTAAAGTAAAAAACCAGACCTTCTGATAATACCAAAAGTGAGACCCAGACCTCCTGATAATACCTCAAGTGAAACCCAGACCTCCTGATAATACCTAAAGTGAAACCCAGACCTCCTGATAATACCTTAAGTGAAACCCAGACCTCCTGATAATACCTTAAGTGAAACCCAGACCTCTGGATAATACCTTAAGTAAAACCCAGACCTCCTGATTATACTTAAAGAGTGATAAAAAATGTATAAATTATTTTATGGAATCTAAATTCTTTTTGAAGCTAACCTGTACTTTAATCTGTACTTGACCGTGTATTTGAATCTGTACTTGAATCTGACTCTGCAGGGTCCCAGGATGCCTGTGGAAATATATTTCATATATAAACTGTTCATTGTACGATATATTGTACACTGATTCAACATACAGGGCTAACCACAAAGGATGAGACTGTAATGACGACCTAAAACAGAATCCATTTTGGGTGACCATAGTGAATATAATTGCTAAAATTAAATCAAATTAGACTTTTAGAGACTCCTTTCAACCATACTTCAATCTTAACATGAATTTATTAAGTCGGGACCAAGAAAAGGAACTAAACACTTGCCACAAATTCTAATTTTCTACTCACTGAATTTCAGCAAACTGATCAATGGTATTGAAAACCTTTGATATTTCAAACAATGAATTATGTTGGATCAAATATAGTCTAATTTTTGATCAAAGGTTTGTACAATCAGGTTACTAAGAATCAGGCATACGGATATATATATATATAGATATATATCAATATATATATCAATTATATCAATATATGTGTAAATACTATATATATAGTTCCTGAATTCCTTTTACCTGCTTAGTGTGTATAAACAATACATATAACCAATTCCCAATAAACATTATTGCGACATTGGTTCCAAAGTTCCCAATCCATTGATCTCTAAACAATAAACATTATTGCGACATTGGTTCCAAAGTTCCCAATTCATTGATCCCTAAACAATAAGCATTATTGCGACATTGGTTCCAAAGTTCCCAATCCATTGATCCCTAAACAATAAACATTGTCGAAATATTGGTTCCAAAGTCAGCAATCCATTGATCCCTAAACAATAAACATTATTGAGATATTGGTTCCAAAGTCACCAATCCATTGATCCCTAAACAATAAACATTATTGAAATATCGGTTCCAAAGTCACCATTTCATAAAATTCCAATCAATTAATCCCTTAACAATAAACATCGGTCCAAAAGTTGCAGATCAATTAATCCCTTAACAATAAACATCGGTCCAAAAGTTGCAGATCCATTAATTCCTTAACAATAAACATTGGTCCAAAAGTTGCAGATCCATTAATTCCTTAACAATAAACATTGGTCCAAAAGTTGCAGATCCATTACTCCCTTAACAATAAACATTGGTCCAAAAGTTGCAGATCCATTACTCCCTTAACAATAAACATTGGTCCAAAAGTTGCAGATCCATTAATTCCTTAACAATAAACATTGGTCCAAAAGTTGCAGATCCATTAATTCCTTAACAATAAACATCGGTCCAAAAGTTGCAGATCAATTATTCCCTTAACAATAAACATCGGTCCAAAAGTTGCAGATCCATTAATTCCTTAACAATAAACATCGGTCCAAAAGTTGCAGATCCATTAATTCCTTAACAATAAACATTGGTCCAAAAGTTGCAAATCCATTAATTCCTTAGTAATAAACATTTGTCCAAAAGGTATAAATTGATTGATTCCTAAACAGTACATGAAACTTTGGATCCAAATTGATACAATCCCATTGATCCCTTAACAAATTTTTATACAATTTTAAGAACCGTTGCACTTGAGAGTCTTAAAGATTATGTTTACAAAATATTTGTACTTTAAAAATCATCTTTAAACATTGACAAGACCGAAGCTGAGAGCTCTGAACAGTTTACCTCGTGCTTGTCTTGAACCAACCCATGAATAGTGGAACCATTATATAAGGAACTGTATTGGATACCAGGCTCGCCAAACCAAACAGTTGACGAGTAAACGTAGGAGACAGTTCTCTGAAAGGTTTATCAAATTATCACAAATGTTCAGATTTCTGAAGAAATACGAACATAGCAATTTTTGAGTATTGTACGAAACACATAAAATATGCAAGCTAACACAAAAAAATCTGAATATTGGCAACAACTCCTAAAAACAAGCACTTTGCAGTTTTGGAATAAACATGTCCAAGGCTACAATAAATTTTCTATCCCAAAAACTTTAAAGCACGTGGTGCCAAAATATGAAATGTTTGTGTATTTGTCTTATTGCTATGACTATTTCTAGATAAAATAAGCTTTTTAACAAAGCAGAATTAAATATACTTGATTTTATTTTTAATTTCACTTAAATTGAAAAATATATTTCGGGTATATCCTAATTTTTTTTGAAGGAAATCCGGGAAACAATCAAAACTTCACGTTGCTTTAATGTACAGCTAATTCAACTTATAGCACGATGATTACAAGGTACTATAATATACAGTTAATTTAACTTTATAGTATGATGATTACTTTAAAGTGCGCCAATAATAAAATTGGGGAGGTAAAACTTAAGCACAAGGCATTGCAACATGTCAAAGCCGATCCGGTCTTCAAATCCTATGCACACAACTTTCATAGTTGTTATGCTGTGTATACCTGAAAGTGGTATAACCAGCCAGACTACCAGCAGATGAAAAACTACCAAGTATCTGTATTCCCACTACAGTAGCTTTATAGCTAACTATATAGCAGGGTAAGAAGGGTAGGATAAGGTAGGGTAGAGAGGATAATGAACAGATTACAGCTCCTAGAACCAATATTAATGAATTAAAAAGGTCACTGAACTACATCCCGCCGGTCCAAATCCTGAATCACAGATTTATACCTAATAGTAAATCTTCAACTTTGACTCTGTGATTCAGGATTTGAACCGGTGGTAAATAGTTCAGCAGCCTCTCTCCTATCATTAAATTTTGTCCCTGCTCGTCTAACTATATGAGCTGGAACATCTAGGTTTAATGCTATATCTCCAGCCCAAGCACTCAGATATCCAAGAATCATCAAAGATATGTCAGGGGGAGCTGTTACCATCAGAGCAGCATTAGATATACTGTATCCATGGATCTCTAGAATACAAGATATATTATAACAAGACATTCGTATATCTTGTTCCCTATATCCGGCCAAACGGCTGGATCGAATGGGTTTATATTTTTTTGGATACTCATGGGTAGCCTAGGAACATAGGCTAAAAAAAATTCTATTTGTTTTCTTTTTTCTTCATCTTTTTCACGGGCAACGCCGGACGCTTCAGCTAGTATTTATATATATATGTATTGTAACCAACAGAGCAGCATTTAGATATAGATATACTGTATAGATCTTTAGAATATCTTATCTTACTTTTTTTTCTTATATTTCCCCTTATTTTTTTCCCCTTTTCCCATTTTATTTTTCTCCTTATATTTTTCCCCTTATTTTTTTCTCTGACCTATAACATTAAGAGAAAACACACAGGACTCAATTATTAATAGATCAAACCATTTCATCTCTTATTAAATTAAGAATAATTTACCCAGAAGATATTTTTTCATCATAAGGGTCATAACAGGAGACTGCCAGGCCTGAACTGTAGTTTGTATAGTCGCCAATATAAAGTCAGGATCTGTTAATATCTTAAACCACGGAGTTTTTATCTTGCTATCTCTATTCTTCATGATTTGGATATTTCTTCTGTATTTTCTCAATTGACTTCTCATCTTCAGTTTAGTTTTATACTACACAAATACATTAAGGATCTTTAGAAAGAATTAGAAAAAGTCCGGTACAATTGTTTTCATTTGGTCAACAAGGGAAATGATTTTCCCCGGGAATTTAAACTTAGTATTCCTAATTTCTTGGTAATTGTTGTTTACCTTCAATACTTTCAACCAATGTTTTCTAAAAGGTCAAAACGTCAAAGTTTGAAATATTAAAGAAGTACTATATCAGGTTGCAAAGATTATGATTAGAAAATCAAAGTTTGAGACCAGTATAATCAGTTCCTATTAATAATAACTGTTTCATAACTTTATTGCAGTTTTACTTAAATGAATTTAAGAGTAATTTAAATGCATTCTCTTTTAGATTAATGACAATAGCTTTACGTTTTCAATCCAGTAAGTTGAGAAATCTCACCCGTTTTCTTGCCTGTCTCTGTTTTAGAAATCCGCAATCCACTCTTAAAAGTGTGGATTTCCAGTGTTTATATATAAATAGAAATAAGATCATCTCGTTTAATATCTTTCAAACTTAAAGATATTGTTGTTAATTGACACTTAGATAAAATAAATAAAACTGAACATGGAAAAATTATGAAATTTTTAGTTTGCACTATTTGAGAAGATCCTAGCTTGACCTGAATTGTCGGAGGATGAAAATCCCAGTTTTTATCTTCAGCAATCAGTTTTTTCTCGTCATATGATAGAAATAGATTATCCAGGGGATCATCTGTGATTACAATAAAAAATATTGCACCTGAAACAAATCTAGGTCAGTTGGGGGTGTTTGTTTAGAAAGAAGAATTATAAACTTTACAAAAGAGTTTTGTGAAACTTGATGTAGTTTCAATATTTACCGGATTTTCACCCAAAAGTTTAGTACATTTTTAAAACTTTTTTTTCAATTTAAATGAAAATAAAATAAAAATTAACTTAAATTCTGTATCATGTAAATCTTGCAAAATCAGATAGAAAATTTCATTAATTTCATTTTATTGAGACATTTTTAATATTTTTGATCAAGTATTTATAATTGATAATTAATTGCGAATAAGAAAACTGGGCAAGAAAACTGAATTTCATGATTACAAAATACTTAATCTTGTTCAAACTACATTAATTTATTTAATTGTAAAGAAGCTGCAGGTCAAGCTTATTTATTAATATAAAAATATGATTTAGACTTTAAAAGTGGAAGAAATAAAACTGTGGAATAGAGAGAAACTTTTAGGCAATCTTATTTGTGTTTGATGCATACTGGAATTATAACAAATGGTTTACCAGTCGCTAGAAAATCAACTTGGTGGGTTTCATTTTCATATTCATTGACCTTAAAGGTCGTTTACCTATTCCACAGTTTTATGAAGTCTATAAAATCCCCGACAAGACATAAAATCGCAGATATCCCGATAATCTTTTAAAATTACTTCAAGAATCATTATCTTAATCTTATTATTATTTCTCCTGAGGTCCGAAATTTTATGTGGAATGTCGTTCATCTTGATCTCGATATATAATGTGGACACTTTTAAATTTGAATATCAATGATTTATCCCTTCATTTTTGTTATACCTGCATGGTATGACCATCACGGTAAATCGAAGTGGAATCAATTGTATGGGTGTCTGCGTAGAATAGAGTTCAAGGGTTGATTCACAATACAACAGTTCAAATCTCAATAATAATATTATTATTATATAATAATTATAATTACCACAAAGTATACAAATACAACCAGGAAGATAGAACAGGAACTCCCATCCTAGCCCAGGGGATACTATCATATATCCACTAAACATTGATACTATCATATATCCACTGAACATTGATAATATCATATATCCACTGAACATTGATAATATCATATATCCACTAAATATTGATACTTTCATATATCCACTAAACATTGATCATATCATATATCCACTGAACATTGATACTATCATATATCCACTGAACATTGATACTATCATATATCCACTGAACATTGATAATATCATATATCCACTGAACATTGATACTATATCATATATCCACTAAACATTGATACTATCTAGTATCTACTAACTAGCTGTTCAGGAACATGTTGAGAAAATAAAAATCACCTCTTATCATCGAAAATAAGTAATCTTATTCAGTTATTAGTTTCTGCTATCTCTCATTGTTCACAAACATTTTCTGTAGATTTTCTGGAATTTTTATTGAAAAGACGACATTTGAAGAATTTTAGAAATCTGCGAACAAATTCATAAAAATAAGAAATTCAATATAATGATGAAAAAGAAATAATTGATTCTAACATTGATTTATTGACACAATTTTATTGAGAAATATGTTCTTAAACATCTAATTAGTTTACTGCAGAATGTTTGATACATTTTCGTCTTCGTTATCAAATTATTTTTAAAAAATCGATTCTCAAACCGTAACAACTCAAATGGAAGAATTTGAACGTCGACTTTGCGCTCAAACTCAGTAAGTATACATCATTAAAACGATTTATATGTCTCAAATGAATCCTAAAAAATTTCTCCACAATACTACATTCCCAGTTCAACGGCCATACATTGCTAGTCACTCCCTTTAATACAGTAGTACTAGTAACTAGAAAACAGTGGGGTCATTTTGACCTGAGAAGTGAGGAGCTCAAAAAGTTTAATCAAGAAAATTCTAAATTACCTTGCAATGAAAAACATTTTTCCTAGCCTAGGTCCTAACCAGACCAATACATTAGTTCTACACTGCTCTTTCTCCAGGAACCAGTGCTGCAACAATAACACAGTAACCCCTTACATTAATTAGAAAATTGCCCTTATCCGCTTCGGAATAAAAACAATGTCACTTTCTCAGTGAAACCAGTTCTCTCTGGGCGGAATTTGTAAACACAAATAGGTGCATCAGTGTTCGTTTAATATCCAAGGAGTTTAAAAGCAATAAATTTTGAAAATTTTAATATTTCATATGATAATTTCTTATGACAAGAATATTTCATTGATTTTTTTTGTGAAAGATGGATCCCATGTCAGGCTTCGACATCCGTCTTGTGTTTACATTACCGCCCAGAGACAGTATACACTGCAGTACAAAAGATGCATACACCTCTGAAATAACTTTCTTTGCATTATAGCCTTGCTTTGTATATTCTTTGACGTCGATATTGAGCTTAATCTGTTTTGATTTTTTGTATTGCAATTTGATCTGTTTTGTAAGAAACATTTTTTACCTAATAAACCCATTAAACCTATGGTTTACCTGAACTATCATGGGAACTGCAGGATTAAGTATAGCTGAATAGAATCCGGTGAAAAATCTAGAAAAAACGGATTCAGATAATATATATCGGATAAATGATCCCGGGATTTACACAAAAGTTGTGAACTTTATAACAACATTATTACTCTTGTCCTGTCTGTACGTGTACTCTCTAAGTATTGATGACTCATCATATTTTAATGTTTATGTATTATCTATATGGTATGTAAAGACGGTAGTTTAACTGGATATTATTTATGGTTCAGGTTATTGGTTGGGTTCCCTCTAGGCTATGTGAGTCTACATATATATATATAGGTGTTCCAATAATGAGAGTTCAGAGACGTAGTTTACATAGTCTTTGATTACCGTTTGCTAATGAAAGACGAATAAGGGGAACCGTAATCTGATTTCCAAAATGTGGTCAACTATTTTTGGATCTTAAAAATTGAGGAAGATATCTGATATTTAGATTATTTTAAATCTAATTAATAAATTAAAACCCATGTCCATGGACCTTGCGGTTTTTTTTTTGTTCATAAATGTTATAAAGTTGTAACCAAAAAGCAGTGGATAGAAAGTCGTCTTCTTTGACTCTGTTAGTTTAAAAAAAAAGTCTTGATATGAGAACTGATCATTTTACAATTTTCTGTTTACCACTGTGAGTGGAAAAATATACTGTATGTCTAATGAAGATAACAATACGAGTAAAGACGATTGCAAATTTGTTATTGTCATATTTTTTGGAACAACTGTATAATGCATCATGATATATTTATTTGATTAAACTAAACAAGTGCCAGTATATATCAACACCAAGTTTGGTATTGAAATAAACCAACAGAAGGTTGCCTCAGGAGAGGATCAAATATATTTGTATTTTTATTAATAAATGGATACATTTATGTACTACAGTGAAACCCATAAAACTACGGAACAGGAGGAGCATCATTGCATGAAACAAAAACAATTCTAAACTTTACACAGATTCTTCTCACTTAACTGGGAGCTTTATAAAGATACTTGTGAATAATAAGCTTTTATTATAAAAATGAATAAAATATACACATAATGTTACTTGAATGGCGTCTTCCTATTACACAGTGCTTTTTTGGATCTCAACTTAAATTTTCTACACTTTGTACAGTGTACATTAAAGATCAAATAAAATTAAAAACATGATTTTGATGTTAAAAAAACTGTAAATATGCGTCTTGCCGTCTTTCTTAAATGTCGTCTGACTTAATAATATTTTAAATTGTCAGATAAACGAATACTTATAGAGCCGAAGCTCTCCTTTTTGGAGAATGGAAAATAGCATAATAATATGCAACGGTGTAGGTATAGTTATCAAAATAAAATGAAGCCGACTTTTCTTATTTAAGTTTTAATTGTTAACAAGCTTTTTTCGAATTACAAGTTTGCAAGCCATGCAAGAGAAGCCTTTTTAATTGACAGCTTCTCTCTGTTTTAATATTTTAGTGTATCCATGCTGTTTAAAAGCTTAATATTAATCAAAATTAAAATCGAACGTCGTCTTCATTATATTTATAAAATCGCCAACCACTGTACTAAATCTTTTTTCATAACTACAGCACTCCTAGCTGCATGTGTTCGATAACTACTGATTTTAAAAAAAATGCAAAATTGGGTAATTGAGAAGTTTGCCATTGAAGACTCGAGACATTGCTGAAAAGTTTATTTATTTGTTTAAAGTAGAAAATCTGAAGTTTTGAATTGAACGAACCTATAAATATTATTACCTGAGTATAAGAACACTATAGTAACCACCTTCCTTTGCTATTGGAGGAGTGATGATATTGAGAAACCCAGCATAGGCCAGACATAAGGAGAACACAAATCTAAAAACGTTTAGAGGAACAGTGAGATCCATAATACTGTGGAATAGGATGACGACATTAGATCAATACTGAAGTGTATTTGATGTTGATAGTTGATAGCAAATAGTTTTTATACAGTTAATCCCAGATATGTGAATAAATAGCCAGAATTTTTCATAATGTCGTATTCTCAACATACGATTAAACCCTAAATGGGCCGTACATCGAAATACATCAAGTGTCGTCTTGACACCTTTTTAATGAGTTTTATACTATTTTACGTAAATCTCTGTTTTTGCGAAAATAAATAAATAGCTATGAATATGCGCGAACAGTTTCAAAGAGCTCCATATAATCATTTAATTAAAAAACTAAATATCTGCAACATTTCATTATCAGAAAGTGAAGAATACGAAATTTAACGATTTCTTTGGATGTATGGCTTATTGTAGGTGTTAACTGTATTTAAGGACAAATTCCGCGGAAAAACGAGTTTACATTATAAATTGCTGTCCTGCATATTTCAGGCTATTATTAATTTACCTTAATTAAAAATTAAAAACAGTTTATTAAGAATTATCAAAAAAAAACTTGTGACTCTTACCTACTTACTTACTTACTTACTTACTTACTTACTTACTTACTTACTTACTTGGACATATTTTCATAATCGTATTTAACCCTTTGAAGCAGCAAAAGTCTCAGCAGCTTTGTTTTTTGCAGACCAATAATGAAGCTTACAAAATGTTGAAATAAATTTCAAGACGACATTTACTGAACTCTTGCTGCGTGATCTTATATTCAAGATTAGCTATTGTAACTTATCATATCACTTTTTAAGTTCAATGGGTCTGTTGACACTGCACAATTGCTGTGTCTTCGGTTCATTGGACTATTAAAAGTCTGAAAGTCGGTTTTTCTATTCCATAGGTTTCTGGTTCTCACTGTAATTGTGCTAATTCCATGAGTATTGTTCACACAAATATGTTTATTTATTAAGTTTGACGTACAGAGGGTAGCAGACAAAAATTAGACTTGCATGAGAGCCTAATACAGAATACTACTATTTGGAGGTCAAATTCTGTTTTCTACGTTTAATATAACTCTTTGCATTCTAAGAAACTGTGAGGGGTGACGAATTCTATATCGTCTTTTAAAATAATTCTTTGATTTAGTATAGTGATACCTACTGAGACAGCTGTAATCTGTAAGAGTTTCGTCTGCTATGTTGTTTATGTTTTGACTTCATACGGTTGTACTTAGTAAAACAAGAAAAAACAGAGACATTATAGACACATCTTTACAGTCTTTTACCCTTTTCATGAAATAAACTCTTATGGCAGACATAAGACATTTTATAGACATTTTTGAAATCAGGTATTACAATGCTAATTCATAGCAAAGACGATATAGAATTCGTCACTGAATTACCATGTTTTTTGGAACACCCTGTATAAAATACTGATTAAAATCTGTACATCCCAGTCCTATGTAATTATAAACATAATATCTATTGGGATCCCATGGTTTACCTCATGTTTATATAATCATAGACTATAAGAGTAACCAAAGTACCAATCAGTGAACCAATAGCAATAATCATATTCAACAGAGCCTAAATATTAAATTTCGAATTGTTTAAAGATGTCCAATAACAATTTGTTATAAATGAAAAAAAAATATATGGTTACGAATTGATATTTTGTTCAGATTTTAAAATAAATTATATAAAAACAAAAATCTCGAAATCTGAAGAAAACTCTTAATATCTCCGGCAATATCGAAAGCACAAAAAACGCAGATCACATTTTGAAAATACCAGGGCTAGGGTTATTTTGTGATTAATATACACTTGAATCGCTAATCTAAAATCAGATTTACAAAAAAAGTGTAACAAAATATAAGATCAAAAACGACCTTTAAAGGGAGTGACCGTCTATGTAAGGTAGTTGAACTGACTATGCAGTGTTGTGGACAAATTCTTTAGGATTCATTTAAGACATATTACCCACTTTTTAAAGATCTGTAAATCCTGAGTTTGAGCGCAAATTCGACTTTGGGGTAAACACGTTTTCAGAATTAGTTTTTTTTTAATTGTTAAATAACGACAACATAAAATGTAAAAGAATTCTACAGTAAACAAATTAGTTGTTTAGGAACAGGTTGAGAAAATAAAAATTAATCTTATCATCGAAAATAAGTATATTGTTCAATTTTTTGTTTCTATTTTCTTATTATTCTTGTTTCTCATTATTCAATGATTTTCCGCAGATTTTCTAGAATTATTATTGAAAAGACGACATTCGAAGAATTTGAAGAAATCTGTGAATAAATTCAAAGAAAATAAGAAATTCAATTCAATGATGCAAACGAAATAATTGATTCTAGCATTGATTTATTGACAAATTTCTTTTGAGACATATGTTCCTAACCATCTAATTAGATTACAGTATGATCTTTACTTTATTTTTGTTGTAATGATTTAAAAAACCCGATTCTGAAAACGTATCCACCCCAAAGTAGAAGTTTTGGACGTCGAATTTGCGCTCAAACTCAGGATTTACAGATCTGCATACTCAGTTCAACTACCATACATAGCCGGTCACTCCCTTTAAGCCGACTTGCTACTGGCATGTTTTATGGTACACTTGTATATAAAACTGCAATGAGAACCAGAAAACATTGATTTTTTTCTACTACATTGGATATTAGAGTTGCTAAGCATTTTGTAACTTGCAAGTTGCAACTCAACTTATTCTAAAAAGTGAACTGAGCTGAAAACTTTAGAATGATGGATATCAAGATTAATTTTTACTAAACCCGAGATTATTTCAATACGCATTCAATATCCAAGAAGGAAGTTTGAAATTCAACCAATCAGCGTGTCATGTTAAGATGTACTCTTTAACTTTGAAAAACTGGTTTTATTTCTGATGTTGATGGTTGAATAATTGTAAGTTTTGGATTAATGTTTTTTAAGACTAACGTTTACAATTAAAATGGTCCTAAACTCTGATAAAATATGTTTTAATAAGTTCATAGAGTTCATATTAACATGGTAAAATTTATGTTTGTTTAAATGTTCTAAAAGCCGCCTTGTGAACAGCTGATTTAAATTCAATCGGATATTAGTTCAATCGATATAGCATTGAATCATGTAATTGCGGAGTGTAATTGTTATTAAACGTGACTTTATACATAGAAACATCCAAAAAAGAGGATTAAGAAGAAAATCAAAAGTGTGTACATTGGATACTCAGATTAAGCCATCAGGATTAAGGATATCTCATTTGAAAGTTTTCAGTTCAGAACATATTTAGAGATATATAAGTTGCAATAATTGCAATTTGAAAATTACAAAACTAAACAAGGATATTTTAGGAGTGCAAGCAGAAAAATAATATGACATTAAATCCGCAGTTTTCTTCTTCTCACTGTAATCCTGTTTCCGATTATAAATTATGTGAAGATGACTCCTACTTTTTCATATAATCGTTTAAACCTTTGAAATAATATTTATTTTCTAATATTGAATTAACCTCTATAGAATTATTCCAAGGAAAAGGTCCATCTTGTATAGTAGGTCCATGGCAACCATCAGATTCATTTAAAACCTGAATGAGTTGAGTATAATTAAATAATTCCTTCGTTTGTAGTAACACAATTACACTATCTAATGAAAAATATGTTTTATTGCGCCCGGGAAATCGTTGAAACTATTATTTTAAATTTAAATTCAATCTTGCATTAAATAAAGAGACTTGTTAACATTAAAAAATTCTTAAGAAACAAATCAAATACAGGGTGTCCCACGAAACATGACAGTTGGTGAATAGTTTTAAATGTCTTCTTCCATAATTTTTTAACTTGTTTGATACCAAAGAGACTAATAAAAACTATTTTATGACAGTCATATTATGTTAAAAGTGATATCAAAGTAATTTATATTTGAGTAATAAAAAATTTTATAAGAAATAAACTGGAAAATGATTGGAATGTTTAATAAAGTATATGGAAGAAGACATTTAAAACTTTCTATAAACTGTCATGTTTTGTGGGACACCCTATAGGTAAAGAAAAAAATTTTTTTATAAAAATCTGTACGGTATTCTCTGCAGTCTCATCCCCAAGCATAAACTTAAATGGGAAAATGATGTAATTTTACTTTCCAAATCATACATTTTTGAGTTTATAATTATATAGAAAATAAAGAATTCAAAATAGTGCAAAGCCGCGTGTAAGGCCTGCAATGACTAGAATTTTTACTTTTATATTTTTGTGTGACCAATTAAATTGTATTTAATTGTATTTAAGTTTAAAATTAAATACCAAAAATGGATATTTGTAAGATGCCCTCGATCAACGTCTCACAGCAAAAAAGAATACAAAATTTCACAGGCTTTCCTCGATGTAATGCACAAAATTTATGATTTAAAAGTTTTAATCTACAAGGGAATTCATGTGACGAACTCGATATCGTCTTTTTAAATAATTCTTTGATTTAGTATAGCATACCTATTACCTACTAAGAGAAAGCTGTAATCCATAAGATTTTCGTCTGCTTATTTACAATTTGTTTCTTTATGTTTTGACCGCATACTGAATTGTACTTAGTAAAACAAAAAATTGCAGTATACAAACAGAGTAAACTTGTCCGTCTTCACTGTTCATCTTGCGGAGACATTATAGATACACAGCCATTTACCGTTTTCATAAAATAAACTCTAGCAGACATAATAATATTATGGCTTTTAAAATTAGGTATTACAATGCTGATACATAACAAAGACGATATCGAATTCGTCACTGAATTCCCATGTTTATTGGGACACCCTGTACATAATGTACAATACGGATATGACATTTTTTAAGATCAAGGAATGATATTAAAGTATGTTACCATAACGCAAGTATCAACGTGATCAATGCCATGAAAATGTTTTCGTTGTCCAGGAGGAGGCCAGTCAACAGCTGTATGGTTAATCATACCGTCCAGTGCATAAGCAATGTTGTTTCTAATCATTGTTACCGATACCAAACATAAGAATGGAACCAAACAAGCCAACCAAAACCGATTCCTCATTTTAACTAAATTACACTAACATGAACACTTCAAGAAACAAGATGTACAGTTTTCAAGGATTTTGTGCGACAAATTCGCAGATTCTGACACAAGAATTAAAAAGATGCACTATATATCTAAATTTATGTTGAAATTCGTTTGAGTTTTTTTTATAATTTATAGACAAAGGCAGATACAGAATTTAACAAATGCTTCTCTTTAAATTGGGGGAAAAGTAAAAATTTTATAAACGTTAGATTGTACTTGAATACTGAAACCTTTTTTAATTAGACCATCAACTTTCGACCATGGGAATAAAGAACTTTAATTAACATTGTTAATGCAATACGTTTAACCAATCATTTTTTTCTTTTTCCAACTCTGTAAGATTTTGTCAAGTTCAAGCATCAATTTTTGGTTAAAAAATTTCAAAATTGACGGCTTCATAATTTGAGAACTTTTTGCAATGAAATTTTAGAAAATAAAAATAAAGACATTTTTCCATTTCCCGATGACTCATCCCAAAAGCTATAATCTAACCATGCTTTATGAAAATGTTTGAATTAAAGAGGTAAGAATACTTATCAAGTAAAAAGTTTAAATAGCATTCAATTAAATTTATTCATCATGTAAGAAATATAATTAATAAAAATATACAAGTATAATTATCGTTTTCTCTTTCTGTCTTACGCACGCAATCATCTTAAACTTAACTGTTCATTTTATTTTTATTTACATTATTGTAACAATCCTTTAGAAAGAGCTGTATAATAGCTTATCTTTTTGATAAGTACTACAGCTACGGACGGAAGCCAGATAAAAATAGCTGATATAATATCTGCTATATAAGCTTTACAGTAGCTTTACTTATAGCTGCTACAGAAGCTACAAAGTTGCTATAAGACAAATAGCTTATACAGAAACAATACATTAGCTGCACTACAGGAGGAACCATACAATAGCTAAACAACAAGCAATTATAGGAACTATAAATTTGCCTAAAAACAAGATGGACTGATAGCTGCTAAAAGAGAAATTTAATAGTTAAACTAATAGCTCATGATGAAGTGGACCAGTAATTGACCTGGTCACTGCTACGTGGTGCAGGAGCTTTATTATAGTTGAATAAACAGCTGCCACATGAGCTACATAAAAACTAAACTAATAGCTGCTACATGAAATCTACAGTGGCAGCTACTTGAGCTAGCTGAAGTAATAGCTGTTTCAGCTGTTAATACCTGTGCAACAGCTGCACTAAAAGATACTCCAGCTGTAAATAGATCTGTGCAACAGCTGTACTTATAGCTGCAGCAGTAGTCACAAGAGCTGTGGCTGCTGTTATAGAAGCTGAAAAGCAGCTGCACTTAAAGCTGCTCCAGATGTTACAGAAGCTGAACAGCAGCTGAACTTATAGCTGCTCCAGCTGCTAAACCTACTCCAAGTATCCCGGCCATGAAGTTTGCAGCTGTTTGTTTGAGATGAACCGGAACTCTGTAGGGTGCAGACACCATCACTATGCCGGTCATGTACCCGTTGCTGATGGATAAGATGAAGATGAGGAGGATGTAGGCCGTATCAGAGTAAATCAGGATGGGTGTATAGTAGCGACTCTCTGGTACTGCATTGCACATCATGAACAAGGGAATGAAGAAAATCCTAAATAAAAACTATGAAAGCGAAATTTCCCAAATACGAAGGTAGATTAATAATAAGTATAGCTATATAAGTCCTTAGCTTCTAAAACGCCAAAATTAACATGCCTTGGCAAAGGAAAAAACATAATTTAAAAAATACTTTTGCACCAGATTTTTATATGGAAAAAGTTTCAGGTTTAGAGCTTTAAAATATATTATCAAAAATAACAACGATATCTTCTCCAATGTGAATTAGTATTTCGACACAGTGGACAGACTCGAGTGTTTCTCAAAATTTCCATTTATAGATGGAGTGTTCGTAAGCTGAGTCTGAATCAAAGGAATTAAATTTTTGCCACAAGCTCTGATTTTCTGGTCCCTGTATCTTAACAACTCAATGTCATAGACCTAAGATATTTCCGAGCTATGAATTCTGTTAGATCAAATAATCTAAGTTTGAAATATAAAAGGTGTTCATAATCAGGTTGAAAAGATATTGAGATGAGAAAAGTTGAGTATTTGTCAAAGACTTGCAATTGCTTTGAATTGGGTCGCTTACTAATTTATAACTGATCATTTAAATATTAAAATGCAAATATTCGGAATTTCATTCTGGATATTCAAATGGAGACAACATATCATATATGTTTTATCTTTAAAGGACATGCATGTGAAACTTTTGAAAATATTTATATCCAATTTCGAAGATTCTAAATAACGAAGACGACATTTTAAATGAATTAATGTTAAAAGCAATTAAATACAAATTCAATCTATTCTCCCTTTCACTTTTTGTGAACACTCCCTTTACCAAGAGTTGAATACCTGACGACAGCTAGAAGAAGGCAGAGTTTAGGGCCAGGTTTAGGAAAACGGTTGAATACCTGACGACAGCTAGAAGAAGGCAGAGTTTAGGGCCAGGTTTAGGAAAACGGTTGAATACCTGACGACAGCTAGAAGAAGGCAGAGTTTAGGGCCAGGTTTAGGAAAACGGTTGATGGAGGATAATGTTCTACCAAAATAATCTCCCAAGTTGAAAAACAGGAAACAGGAAACAGGAACAAAGTACAGGTTTTCCCAGTTTCCGGACCCCGGCAATCCCTATATTAGGAACTGAAATTGTTTTCAATATGTTTACAATTTGTCCTGAAGTGAGGAGGGGGGGGGGGGGGGGGGGGGGGAGTGAAGAGTAATCCTAGAAAACTTGAGATTTTCAGCATTTTGATTAAATTCGTCTTTTTTTCAAACCATAATCAGAGAAATTTCTTAAACCCAAAGAATTAACTATCTTGTTAACTTAAGTTTCAATAATATATCTGGATAAACATCATAAAAAAAAACAGAAAAATTGATACAAAATTTGCAAAAATTTGAAAATTAAGAAATCACAGACCTTATTTGTGGATTGAACAAGAACAGTGACAGCCGGAAAACAGGCCAGAGTGACAACATAGATGAGAAAGACGGTGATCTCCTCCTCCCAGATGATCTTGATCACCTCGATCAAAGAAACCTCTTGGTTGACTCCTGGAGGATCAAGGAGAGATGTTTCCTCACTTGATAAAGTTATTGCACTCTGTGTATAGTGCTTGAACAACCTTGTCTTCGTGAGGCCAAAAAATACTAAAACTGAGCCGGAAAGGAAGACGACTGAAAGCAGGAAACAATAGAACGCGGCATCCACGTCATTTCCTCCAATAGCCAATAGAATTATATTTAGCAGTGCTGTGATCACACCACCAAGACCCTAAAGAAATTGTTTTTAGTCACTGTTGTGTAAAAATACCTTTATTTAATTAAATAATATACCTGTCCTGTAAGCACAGCGTTCATATATCTAGACGGAAACATTCCGGCAAGTCCAAAAAATCCTCCCTTAAAAAATTTGAAATTGCAATTATTTTTATTTACAATTATATGAGATTTAATTTCTATTGCGTTTTAATGCTGCAATAAGTCACTACTCAAACAATTTGGGATTTTGAAATAAATGTCATAGATTACATAACAGATAAAAAAGGAAGAGATAAAAGACAGGAACAAGGAAATAATTTAGTTAATCTCAATCTAACGTTTTCTTTCTAAAAATCCCCCATTTATGAAATCTCCCTTTACCTGTATTTTAGTGACTTAATGTCCTGTGTTGTACAGTTCTGTCTATGAAATGTCCCTTCTCTGTATTTTAGTGCCATAATGTCCTGTGTTGTACAGTTCTGTCTATAAAATG